TAAATAAGTCATTTCATAATGTTTTCTAGTATTGCTAATTTATAAAGTAAATATTTATTCTGTAATAGAAATTATTTTTAAGAAATTGAGAAGACAAGTAACTAACATTTGCAAAATGTCTTTTAACATTATCTTAGTTATACATATATATGGGCAAAAGTGCCATATTCTGTTTCCGTCTTGACTCTACAAGATTTTTCAAGTTCTTGTTCTCTCCACATCTTCTGCCTGGGAGCAAAAGATCCACTAGAAGATTCTAAGGCTCAAGTGATGACACAGACATTCAGGGCACATAGCTTGGATCCCTGAATCACTGTGCAGACGTAGGAACTCTCCCCTACCTACAGTGGACTGTGATGTGAACAAGAAATTAACTTCTATTCTGTCAAACCACCAATATCTAGGGGTTGTATTTTACAGCTATTAGCCATCTATGATTAATACACACATACAAAAGTAAGCCAAACTAACCATAAAATGAGATTATTAACTTGAGTTCACAAAAAGAATTTATGGCAAGGAGCAACTATGAAATACCATTGACTGCCCTTGGGGTAAAGTGATAACATAATGCTCTTTCTTATCTTTCCCCATATTGGTTCTACATGACATTAAGGTTTCACATTACTGTGAATATGCCCAGATAAGTTTGGAAAAAGCTGTTAGACAGAGTTCAAAAGCTTCCTTATGACAGGATATTTCAGTTATTAATATACCAATGTCTACTGTGAATCTGTATAAAGGGAAGACTCTATGTGTAAGGAAGATGCAGCAGCTCCAAGACTTCTTTAGTCAAGAAATAATTTGACTAATAAACCCAAGATCCATTTTCTCACTTATCATAATATACCCATCTCTATCTCCCACATGAATGTTCTGTGAAATACATTATAGGAAATTTCACTTCAGTTTAATTTGCATAACATCAGAGTCAGGAAGATCAGTCCTTGGGAAAGGATATTATGCTTGGAAAAGTAGGTCAGTAAAAGAGACGATCAAACTGACCTGCAAGTGAACTAAAGCTGTGAACAATCTCAATCTCTTCACCATCCATCCTGATACTGCCAATTGGTCCAGTGGTGAGAATCTTTGTCTTCTTGACATTGAGCCTCAATCCATACTGAAGGCTGCAGTCCTTGACTCTCTGCAGCAAGTGCATCAGGTCCTCCTCAGTTTCAGTAAGCAGGGTTGTGTCATCTGCATAACGCAGACTGTTGATAGATCTTCCACAAATCCTGATGCCACATTTCTCCTCACAGAGCCCAGGCTCCTGGATAATCTGTTCTGCATACAGGCTGACAAGGTATGGAGACAGGACACATCTCTGGCCTGTGCTCTTCCCAATTTTGAACCATGCAGGGTTTCCTTTCTCTGTCGGACGACTGCCTCTTGGTCTAAGCATAGGTTTTGCATTAGCATGATCAAGTGTTCTGGGATTCCCATTCTCCTCAGAGTCAGCCACAGTTTGTTATGATCCACACAGTCAAACATCTTTGCATAGTCAATGAAACACAGATATACATTCCTCTGGTATTCCTTGCATTCAGCTAAGATCCATCTAACATTAGTTACAATATCCCTAGTACCATGACCTCTTCTAAACCCAGCCTGGACTTCTGGCAGTTCTCTGCTGATGTGCTGTTCCAATCGTTTTCGGATAATCTTCAGTAAAATCTTGCTTGCATGTGAAATCAATGATATTATTCTGTAGTTTCCACACTCTGTTGGGTCACCTTTCTTTGAGATGGGAACAAATATAGATCTCTTCCAGTCAGGTGGCCAAGTGGTTCTTCTCCAGATTTCTTGGCACAACTTGGTGAGCACATCCAGGGCAGCATCTGTGAGCTGAAATATGTCAATTGGTATATTGTCTATTCCTGGGGCCTTATTTTCTGCCGTTTCCTTCAGAGCAGCCTTAACTTCTTCCTTCATCACCATAGGCTCTTGCTCATATGTTGTTTCATGAAATTCTTCTCTGTCTTCCAATTCCTTTCCATATAGTGACTCAGTATATTCTTTCCATCTTCTTTTGATACCTCCTGGATTATTTAACATTCTGCCTAAAGCATCCTTGATTATAGCAACTCGAGGTTTGAATTTGTTCTTCAGTTCCTTGAGCTTAAGAAATGCTGAACGA